TTTTTTTTTTTTTTTTTAAAGCTGAGGTAATATTAGTGCATATGCAAACTGTATCATAGAAGTAGATTGAAATGATAGTGTGTGGCCACCAGCGATATGTGTGCAGTTTGTTCGAGGCCTTTTGGAAATGGCCTAGTTTTTCTGTTAGGTATTCTGAATAATTGTCATTGATTGTTATACATCATCTTGGGCAAAATTTTAGGGTAGCTAGAGGTGCCAAAAGTAAGAGAAATCACTTTCTGTGCTTTAGTCCTTGAGAGCATGTTTGGTATGCAGCAGCACCAAGCACAATTGGACGACTGAATAGATCAGATTTTTTGTTATTTTTGTTCTTTAATACTCTATGGCCCTCCTTACTAAAAACTAAAGCAAAGTAGCTTTTATAAATCACATAATTGAAATTGTAAAGGAGTTGATCATGACGACTCAGTAAATGGTGAACTAATCCTTCTCTCTTCTTACTTTGGTGTTCCCTTGAGATTGCAGAAAGCAACGTCCCATTATAAGAGGCAGGCATCAGTCTTTAGAGTTATAAATGAAGAGAAGCTCTCACTTCTGAGCACAAAGGTCGAGTCAATTCCTAAATTGAATCAGGAGGAATTGAATGAGGAGAATGATAAATTTGTTGAGGAGCCGTCTCCAGCTGATGATATGGTAGACATTGAAATTGGTCTTCCAAACTCTAATGAGAAGGTCGAACATCCAAATTGTTCTCCTATCATGGAAGGGAGTTCTAGGAACTTGCATCAGAAGCTCGGTGTACCTTTTATTATGAATATAACGGAGAAATCAGAAGAGTCGCCTGTCTTGGACCAGGTAAATACGGATGTGGATATGGATTCAAACCTGGAACCGCACGAGCATATTGCTGAGAAGAACCACTTGTTTCTGGATAGCGAAGGATCCAATACTCATTTGCTTGCTGGGATCAAGGAGGTGCCTACCGAATCTGCAGGTAATGCTCAGGAACTGAAGTCGGGTTATACTAAATGTGGTACCTTCCTTAATTCTGATGTGTCCGAGTCATGCGACGAAATAATGCCAGTGTCTGATGAGTCTGGGTTAGTAAATTTAAGTCGGATACATAATTCTCCTGAAAGTACACATTGAAACAATTTATTTTTCTCTAGTTCTTGAAATGCCATTTCGTATTTCCAATCTTCGTCGTCTAATGTTTGCTGTTCGCTGCTGATGATTGTTAAGATTTTTGTGTTTTTCGGTGTTCTCTTTACTCCAATTTTTGTGCCGCGATAATTTTTGTCCTTTACTTTATTTACTTTATTAGGGATATTCGTTGCGGTTGCAACTATTTTTGTGTCTTTTAATATAAAAATAAATCATTTTTGTTCAACCCGACCTTTCAAATTTATTTAGAATAAAGTTTAGCATGTAAGAGCATTTTCAAGACTCTATTGTTAAGGAGTATATTCTTTTATTTAGAGAGTATCTGTAAATTTAAAGAGTTAAAATTTTGAAGTATTCCAATAAGTTTTTTATATTTAACACTTAAATTTACTACAAAAAATATTTATTATTTATTTTAATTAATTTTTCTCTAGTTTATTTTATTATTTTTCTACATTGAAAATTGAAACACTTTGAATGCATTTAATTTTAAAATAGGGTGAGCGGAGGCTGGATACGTTGGCTAGGGGGAGGATATTATGAGATTTTATAGGGTTTTGATAAACAAAATTTAAGTATTAAACTACCATAAAGTCCCCATTTGAGTAACATTAACATAAGAATGAGAATGAAAAATATAGTCGTTACGAATTTTACACAAGAGATAGATTTTTAAATATGGTGGTTTAATGTGATAGAGAACGATAATATTTTTAATATTAATGAGAAATAATGAAAAACAAACAAGGGCAAAATAAATGAATGAGATTAGGTCAAAGATTTTATAGGATTTTAATGAACAAAATTTAAGTATTAAATTATTATAAAATAAATGAATGAGATATAGAAATTTTATAGGATTTTAATAAACAAAATTTATTTGTTTGGTGAAATTTAAATCTAAGCGATCAGATTCATTTCCGGACTTAAAAAATGCGTTATTTGAAAGTATTTGGGCCACTTTGTATAACACTATATAGCATTATTGGTGTTAGAGTACTCGTTCCGGTAACTATAATATATAAGTTCAATTAAATGATTCATGTAATTTTGTATTTAAATAAACCTATCATTTAATGTTATGTAATTATCATCTAAAAAGATGCGAAACACTAGTGGTGATGGATGAGGATTACCAGCCTCTTCCTACTAAGATAGAATACTACAATCAGCTTTTAATTTAAAAAAAATTTATATAAACACCCCCTGGGTCAATGTTTAGAATCTGTACCACTTTTCTCTATGCATTTTGTAAAATTTACAAACTTTACTCATTTATAGAATTGTTTATCTTTGAAATTACAACTCAAGACACAAGAAAAGGATTTTTTGAATTCTACGATCTACAGTTCAGAACATTGTACCATTTCATACAAATTAGAAGCCTCAAAACTAGATTTTCAATGGTATAGTCGACACTGCCTCTATGAACCAGAAGGCATCGAAATTGAAATCACATGCTCTTCTCGAACTTAGAATTATAGAGACTCAAGTTTCACTCAAAGAATCTCAAGAAATCATCTAATCAGAGGTTGAAAATGACTAAAGAAAACGAAGAGAAAAAAGCAGAATCAGAAAGAATTCCAAAAGATACCAACGAAAATCAGATTGCTCAACTAGTTAGGACAACCCACCAAACCCTATTTCTACTCCACACAATCATCGTTGATCTCAGATGATGATCAACGATCTTAAGCAATTGGCGACTTCAACATTAAGTGCCAACTAAAGTTGCTTCTACTGAATGCGTTTTTAGCTATATATTGGGTTTTGGAGTTGGATCTCTTCATCTGAATTATTAGGCAATGGATTAGTAAGTAAAAATAGGCCAAGCCCAAGATATCAACATCACTCTGAATGGACTGAATGAACATCACAGCCCAACAAACTGTTTATAAACAGTTCCCAAACATGCATTCTTGGGGACAAACGGTGCGACAACTCAAGAATTAAGATAAAGTTTCTTACAAGCCCCCGGTGCATATCCCAGTGGTACAAAGGATAAGGGTGGGGTATACTCAGCGTTGCTGGCAGCCGAAGTGTGAAAGTTCGATTCCTTAAATATGGATTGAGACTCTTTGTGAGCACCAGTGTACAGGCAGCTTTTGTTCCCCGACCTGTTGAGGCACATCCGACGATTAACCTCTCTCACGATACTCCAGGGGCGGAGGGCGAGAGGAACCCTTAAAGTTGGAGCTCAACCTTTTTTTTTTTTTTTTTTTTTTTTTTTTAATTTCCTTAATAAATTT